AGAAAATGGTATCCAGAAGTTGCCCTGACCGAGCCAATCTCCTGACATGAACCCCATCGAAAACCTCTGGGCCATACTCGACCGGCAAGTCAAGAAACAACCAAAAACCAACTTCGAAGAGCGATGTACTCCAAGTTTGAAGCAAGAGTGGGCGAAAATCCCACAATCTAAAACTGACGAGATGATTCTTACGATGCCCCAAAGGATCAATGAACTCCACAAAGCGAAAGGAAGATCTACTAGATATTAATTGAATTATAAGTATATAAATCAATGTGAATATGACTGAAAAATTTCATTTTTTCTGAAAAGGTGGTGTCTATTTACTTGTGACAACGCTGTGTACATTAACCATTGAATGAAATAGTCATAACTGAGAATTTATAGAATGCCATTTTTAAATCAGTTTTTTCTTCTAATTTACACCTTTAAACACCGTCTTATGCATGTAAACATTATAATATAAAATACAGTTGTTAGGTTTTAATCTACGCATGAATTCTTCTGAACCTTCAGCTAACACTACTGACGTGTTTGTAGTTAAGCAGAGAGGTACACAATAAGCTATCTGTGCTGTGGCCGCCAGGGGCATCGAAAATCGGTTTTATGGGTTACAATTCTTCAAACTCGCCGCTGGGGACTCATCACATGTGTTCTGTTAACTTATGAAGAGCCACTGAAGTCTTCAAAAAACATCGAGAACAAAATATTATTATTCAGTTTTCACTAACAGTACAATTATCACAACTTCTGAGTTATAAGTTATCATCATCAAAGGGTGAACAGTTTTTCTTTTTTTACATTATTGTACATTAAATCGCACACAAAAATAAAAACATACTATATGTACTTCTGCAGCGTCCGCAGAAATGTTCTGTAACAAATATTTTTAATTCTTACTTTTGAAGTTCAAATGTCATACTGTGTTGTAGCCTACAGAATGCATAATTATTCTTGTGATTCATGACATGTGCATGTTTTACTCACGTCACGACAGTACAAAATGAAACGTTAAGCGTCCTTTATGTGACGTCATTTTAGTGTCTACTGACTGACAACACACTATTGTATAATGGTGCGAGCGGTTAAAACAGGTAACCCCTTTCATGGAAATAACGTACCACCTGAAAACGCACTGCATTTAAAATGGAAAATGATAAATTATTGAAGGAATTGGCAAAACAGTTCAACCTCAGATGGACCTGACAAGAAAGAAATACCTCACCTTCTATACTACAAGGGTGCTTTTACACCTTAACCCTCATTCCCTTAGTAACGAATACAAACTTTGGGGGTGTAAGAATAAAACTGAATTTGATTTATACGAATCAAACGTTTAGGAATACACATATTGTGTCACTAGCGAAGTCTGAAAGAGAGGTATTGATAAACATATGTAAGGAAGGAATACGTCTATTCGGAATTGGTATTTATGGCAAAGTTACTACGGCTATCTGCTGCTGTCACAAATTTTGAGCTGTTGACTAGAGGGAAGGCAGCTAGCCAGCAGCATCCTACAACCCACCAATAACGCTACGTAAATGACTGTTATTCTTATAATACAACGATAAATAAAGCTGTCGGGAATATGTGGTATCGCACAATTGTATTCATAGGCTTTCGACTCATGCAAGTAAAATGTTTTTCATCTTTATAACCGTGTTTTTTTCTTCATTAAAAAGACTTCGTTTTCCTAACTGATTCTTATACGTTCTACTTTTTTAAAGTTATGTTTCTTTGTTGCTAAGCGGTAATCTGCACAATGGGCGATCTGCGCTATGGTGCCATAAGATTCAAAACTTGAATTTTAGCGTTATAAATCCTCATGCTTATTTGAGCCAGCGAGCGGGGATGGGGGTTTAATTATATAAGACAAAATATTTTAAATGCGTTTGAAAATAACTTTGTTTTTTCGAAAGTTAATTTGGTAAATTAACTTCAATCATATTAAAACAAATCTCTTTGATAAATTGTATCCCAATCAAAAAGGATATTTCAAAACGTTTTTATTTAATATTTTAATTTCTTATACAGTAAAGTCAAACTCACATCGGCTACATAGAAAGAGCTGTTTTCTGATACATCTCACAATTACTGGTAAAAACCATTTAATAAACCTAATAACATTAAGTTAAATGTATCGTGGTGACAAACTTAAGTAAAGAAAAAAAAACCAGGTCAAGGTTACAAAGGGCAGGTTTGGTAGGCTCTTGAGTAATGCAACAGCCTATAATCCCTTTTTCTGTCTTTTCTTTTTTTGGAAGTGCCAATTATAAATGTTCTAATTATATAAATTTAAAGAGTGTCTCCTCATTCTGTGAAGCTATAATTTTTTCTAAATTATCATTTCCTCAGAAACAAACAAAAAAAAAACAGTTCCAAGTTCAATAAGCTCTGCAATGGTTTCAGTGTCTTACACTAATATTAAATAAATATTAAATAAACAAAAAAAACATATGCATATCACTTCTGTTTTGAAATATTCGTTTATAGGGTTTCATCTACAGAAAACTTAATCATACCACATACTGCAATCAACTATAATAGATCTCAACTTTTTATGTTAAAAACTAATTGGATTTTGTATGGTAATCTCTGAAATAAAAGGTAATGACAAAACAGAATCAGTCCTTTTGTGGTGTTTGGTTGTATAAAAGTTTAATTGATTACATGGTTTTGACTTTCATAGTGTACTGGTCTTAATAACCACTTTTATATACAAGGTAAACAGGAAATACATGCCAAGTGCCACTACCTCTACAAATATATTTAAGTGTCCAGTATTAGTCATCACTTAGTTAAAAAGTGAATTAACTTGGTTAACTACACTATAACATTTATTACTTTACACACAAGTACTTCTTAGTACAGAAGTAAAGCTGAATATAATATGATAAATATTCTAAAGCCAAGTATTAAAAGCAAATTAACAAATTTATATCATTTAGAAAGTGTGACATACTTCAATATACCACAATAAAAAATTGCCTCAATTATTTTATTAACCTAAAAATAGTGCACAAATTTATAACAAAAGTGATTAATTCTTACAATTCCATGAACTAACAGTTTAATTACACAGATAAAGTAGTTAACCATCACAACCAATGAACAACCTTTATAATAAATCATTTAATTTTGTGCATTTTTTTTAACAATAACTGATCAATTCCTCAATACATCATTAAAAAGTATTGATAAATTTAATCCAAATCTAACAAACTTCATCAACTGTATGCATTAAATATTTCATAAGTTACAGAATATTTTGAGAAATTAATAAGCCAAATAAGAACAAAGAATTCATTTTGAATTTCACAACTACTCAGTGAAAGAAAGTTAAAAGAAACTCCCAAAACACTGTTCAAGTTAAAGTTATCTCTCACTTTACTTCATATTTTCCAATGTTCAAATTTAATGGAATTTTCCTAGTAAGTTAAAAAACAATGATATCCATGTTAAATACCACCATGTGCTGAATATCAATAAAAAACAAAACTAAATATTCATGAGATTAGCACCTTGTAACACTGTAGTATATAGTTAAATGTCACAAAAAAAAAGTTTAACACTTATAACAACTGCAATTCAATGGAATGATGATTTTGTTTTATTACATCTAAAATGTACAGTACCTCATGTTTCTACAATCAATTCCTTTCTACAATTTGATAATCATCTTCACATTTTTACTACCATCAAAACTTTCACATTAGCGTGACTAACAAATGTGCTGCAATGGGACTCTATACTTGGAGGGAGCAGAATCTGTGCAATGCTGCTGCTCAACTCCTATGGTGTGTAAATCAAATCACAGCAAAAATAAAAATATAATTTTTTTAATTTTTTCTCTTCGATATTCACACTATTTCTGTGGTATTCGTATCACATTTTAAAACACTAAGATTCTAATTATTTTATAAAACCAAAATATCATGCTCAAGGGATCAAGATTATTTTTGAAAATTTTATAAACATAATAAGTACATAGGTCTCTATTTACTTTGATGTTCTAAACACTTCATTTATGAAGTGAATCTCATGTTCTAAACACTTCATTTATGAAGTGAATCTCTTAATAATCATCCCTGTTCCATATGAATGATTTGATTTCACAAAAATGGTTATTATGGACGGAATACTTATGGATGGAAAATCACTTTTTAAACCAATTTAGATCTACTATTACTATCTCTAACTTAGTTTTTAACAATAATAAAAGAGATAATGTATATGGGTTATCTAACATGATAAATAGCAGCTTCCTTTTTAACTGTTGTAAAAGAATATTTGTAATATTACACCTAGGAAATAATCATCCATTTTTTAAGTTATGTAACGATATCACAACCATTTCCTAAATGTTGAAGAAATCACACTCCTTTTTTTCCCCTATTACTTATACTAAACTTTTCCGAAATAAAACTTTTCAATTGAACCGAGTTAAGTCAAAGGAATTTGTAATTTAAGTTAGTTCGACATTGTGGAAATTTAAAGCTGAATGTTTCATTTGGACCTTGCACCAACTACACAACAGCAATTTTTCAAGACAACTTTACAATATCACATTATTTCAAAAGGAGAAATAACTGACAGTTTTATGGTAAATGGAATTTTTTTCAAGGTCTGCATCTCTGTAAATTTGTGAATATCTTGAAATGTGACTATTTAAAGAACCCTGGTACATACTTTTACAGTATCTCTATAGCTTGAATTAACAAAGTAAGCTAAAGGCTATCTTTTAGGGAAATAATTCAAAGATTTCTTTTAATTAAAAAAATTTTTCTTTTCATATGTGACCATGGAAATCTTGTTTTAGTTTTTTTCACAGAAGCCTGTACATGTATATTTCATGTTTAATTAAAAATGAAAGTAAAACAGAAATGAAGAACATGTATATTAACTATCAAAAATGTATAAAGGTTAACATAAAAAAATATGGAAGTATACAAAATATATGCATAGTAAATGTATTATTGGAAATAATCAAGAGTACTTTGAACACTACCTCAAGTAACTGATTCACTTAGTAGCTAAAGCTAAGCTAATTATAAATTTTAGTTATTACCTAGAATGTAGTAATAAAACCATTCTGACACTGAATCAACTGTAAAGATATATAATAAACATTAGAGATGCGTGACATAAAACTTGGAATTTATATAAGATTCTTGACAGAAATAGCTACTTCTTCAAGCCAACCAAAAGTTCATAAAAAAGAAATGTCTATGTAATGGACTAAAAAATGTAACTAACCTGAATGATCCAGTAACACTATAACAACACATACTTAAAACTACTAATTATTGAAATCCATAATAGTTGCATAACATCTGTTATGACTGACCAGAAATTACAATTATATAGACATCTTCAACATTCTTCCTCACTAAGGTTATAAGTAATTTTATCAACTAGTGCTGTAGAACTAAGTAGAAGAGAAAAAGAACAACCAGTGACATCATTATTTCACTAATTCTTATTAACGTAGAAATCTCAATCTGAACACTTGAGCAATAAAAAATTGAAATAAACTTTCAGACTAGACAAATAACAGCTAATGGTTAATTATATTTGCTTAATCTCTAAAACACATCACAAGAAAAGGAACCAGGTAAAAAATAAAAGCATGTAAGAAACATACACATTAAGTACAAGAATATATGGTCTACACTATTAACAAAAGGCACTGCCATGATATGTTTATATGAAAAGCATAAGTGCTTTATTTCAGTTAAAGCATAATATCATTATTTAATCAATGTAAATAATCAAATTTTTTTCGAATTTAATTTTTCATACTGCTGTGTTTTGCTATAACCTTTTCCTCCAGTCTTTTGTAGCGTTCAACCATGGGATTATAAATCTGTACAAAAAATAATGATATAAAATTAACAAAATACCATTGATTTTCAAATAATCGCCTAAAAGTATTGTAGGTTTACTTATGATACATTTCTACACAGTTTCATTATAAAACAAAAAAAAAGGATAACATTTTTATATTTTCATTAGTGCAACAAAACAGTAAACTACTAAAAGCAGGCAAATGTCTGCACTTTATTTCAAGTTACTAATGTCAATTAATTTATTTCATTAAACAAGAAGTCATAGTTAAAGCTTCTGATAAGACACAATCTTGATTTCAATACTAGATGCTGTAAACAGCATGCACTCTATTATTCATAATTTGAAGAAAACATGTTAGAAGTAAAAGAAACTTGATAATGTGAGCACTTAGGGAAAGGTATACGCCTTCCTTTAGCAAAGAACTGGGAATGAGTTGGAAATGTAATGTGAAAGTTAGTGAAATAACCTTTGAGTAGTTTTTATTATAATGTGAAAGTGTTCAAATGAACTTTCACTAGGTATGTTGTAGGTGAGAATCATTTCATAAAGACAGGAGTGGGAGAGTAAAGTTAACTGTAAGAAATGTAATAATTAGCGAAAGAAAAAATTT